AGGAAAGGCCACTTGTAGAAATGGGACGGGAGGAGAAGACTCAGGTGGTGCTCCGGTGAAAAAAACAAATATACATGCAAATTGAGATATAGCTTACACTTCAAAAGGCTATGGCTTAATTGATTACATACACTACATACATTGATTACATACATTACGCTGCAAGTTGCAAAATTGATTACATATAATTGGTTACCGGGGAAATGGCTATATTCCTGGCGTAAAGCGAAAGAATGAAGATAGAATGAATTTGCATTTTTCAAATGCCCTTCTGCTTTTTGTTTTAGTCCAAAGCCAAAAACGACCCAGTTCAAAATGAGAACTAAAAAGATATCTAAGTAGTGCGATGAACAATGTATACATACTGTAAAAACAGGACCAGTTAGTAGTAATTCCAAAAGTAATTAAAAAAAAAAAAAGTTACTTCTGAGAAAACAGAACATTCTATTTTATATCACTGCATAAAATAAGCTTTAAAAAAAGGTGCTGACAAGTATGTAATAGGTTTCTGTTGAGACGGAGTAGCTTGTGAAATAGAGTACACTTATTTTGTCATTTTGGCTAAGCTGGCATTTCTTTATTCAGCTTCAAAGAGCTCTATTCACAGTTCAAAAAAACTTGACAATAGAAAAATGCTGTAATTAATTTTAATACAGGGCCACTGAATGCGGTTCAACGTGAATAAAAAAAAAATAATAAGTGTCACTAATTAAACAAGTATGTTCAGCTTATTGTCAGCCTCTTACACGTATGCTTCTCAAAAATTGATTACATATAATTGGTTACCGGGGAAATGGCTATATTCCTGGCGTAAAGCGAAAGAATGAAGATAGAATGAATTTGCATTTTTCAAATGCCCTTCTGCTTTTTGTTTTAGTCCAAAGCCAAAAACGACCCTTATTTTTACGCATAAAACACACAGTTTGATATACACACTGTTTAAATAATCGTTTGATAATAATTGTTTAAATTAATATAATAATAATAATATAATATAATAATAATATAATGACAAGAGTAAAGTCAAATTATAAGGTTAAAGTCATTCAATTAAAAGGCAAAATTAAAAAAAAAAAAAAAAAAAAAAAACACTGGACGCAAGAACAGTTGTTACTCCTTGCCCAACTGGTTAATGAAAACAAGGATCTAATCAAACGAAAATTTGGAGTTGGGATAACCTCCAAAACCAAAGGCGATACCTTTTTAAAAGGTCATTATCATCAAATGTTTCTAAAATGTTTATGTTCCGAGGCAGACTGCCGTCAACAGCCATTTTAGGATAGTTTGTGGCTTGGTCTTAGTGACTTAGGAGTCCTCTTCACTACTCCTAACTTTTCACAGATTTAGGAGCTAGTTTTAGTGCTAAAACGCTTTGTGAAATACTCTTAGAACAAAAATGTAGGAGTCCTAATCTATTATTTTTAAGATTTTCTCCTAAATCGGCGAGTTATGAGCTACTTTTAGCCTTAAGATGTTTTGTAAATGTGTGCCCAGATTTCTTTCTCATTTGAAAACAACACGGGAGGGCATCTTGTAATTGGAATCTGTGTTATAACACCAAAAGGTGTACAATCTCATATCCCTTGGCTTTGGGCCACCAAACAAATACATTTCATTGGGACAATTAAATGTTTTATTTCCAAACAAACCTGCACAGACATGAATGTTTGAGACGACTTGAATGAAAGATTTATTTTCAATTTCACAGAGCTTTTCCTCATACATCATTGATTTGTGCCATGAATGAATAGGAAAGCCCATAATCAATTTTGAACGCTTCACTTATTCATTTATATATCTAGCTTTCAATATCAGACTCAGAAATAATGTGACTGATATTTGTTAAACTTTTAAAAGTGGAGCTATAAAGTACAAGAGTGAGAGACGGAGAGATGTTGGAGAGATGTTATGGTGCAAGTAACCGTCAGTGTTTTTTAATTTGGAGATTTTTTTGTAACACTCTCTAATCTGATTTACTTTCCAATCTGCAAACCATTGAAAAATAGGAAAATAAGGACCTTTTACACTTAAATCATGCGTTACTGTGTCTGTAAACATCCAGTGCAAACTTTGGTACCCACATCAATATGTTGAATATTGCTGCTTGTAACAGAACTGCTTTTTATGGTTATTCCTTTCCGTCCTGTTCTGAGGTTCCGACTTTGTTTGTTATTGAGTCAGTGTGCTGAGATATTTTAAAAGGTACCCTCACTTCAAAACTCAATTGAAGCCGTTTCACACTAGCAGGCGACAATATTCAGATGTGTCAAGCTTCACGTTGCGTCCCCTTTTTCTTGAATCTGCATATTACAAAATGCTTGGGTGAGTTTTCAGCAAATCTGTGGTGTTCAAAAATATATTTGAATGAAACATCTATGAGTATGGATTGCACTGAAATTTCTGCCTCCAAAATTTGACAAGAAACTATTACTTTAACAGATCAGTTTACTATTAACAGCATATTTGACAAGGGAAAAACGCTGTGTGCACATGAAATGATCCAGGTTTAATTGGATTTAATGTAAACGGTAGCTGATGATGGATTATATATTGACATAAATGAGCTTGTGGTTACAGCTGATGAGGCACACACACTACCTAGGTGTGATGAGATTCATGTGGAGAAATCCAGACTGATGAGTGCTACTGGAAAACAAGCTTGCTGTGTATTGCAGCATATTGTGGTCAGGATTCAAACGCAATTGCATTTGCATTTTCTAGAAGTGCAAAATGTATGCATTAAACACATATTTGCCTTCGCATTTTTCTTAGAAGTGACAGTGCTCTTGTTATCGGTGCATTAATAAAATTGTTCACAGTTGCTTGTCTTTCCTATCCACTAGTAGTACATGGGGTATTTAACACATCTCATGTAACAGATGTGTTAATAGGAATGGTCTCTTACGTGAAAATGCAGAGAAGTTCCTCTTCATATGAAAATGTGCCATCTTTCCTGAAAAACAGTACATTTATTTTGTTATGCATAATATAGGCTATATTGTTATTTTATTGAAACCATATTTTTTTTAGACTAGATGTTATTGAAAAGTCACTCTAATTTAGAGATGAGCATAGTATAATAGTATAATGATGAAATTGGTAGTTATTTTTCCAAAAAGTCTCATTTATAATTTTTAATTCATTTTCAACTAAGAATCTTCATGTTGGTGCATTGCTCTCCATGAGGTTTTAAATGTGAGGTAAATAAGCCAGCTGATTAATTGATTGTTTATGTTTTGCTTTGTCCAGCATCTATAATAATAACAGTTATAATTATATCTCACTGGAGGCAACTGATGATTCCATCAACTGCTTTTATCCTGAATTCTCAAATGCTGGTACAGCCTTGTATGCACAGTGAGAGCACAACTCTAATTGAAGAACCTGCATTTGAAACTACTTTAGGAAAATAAATAAATTAGGTTGTTGGTTGTGGCTTATTTATTCAAACACACAGGAAAAGATGCAAGTTTAATAGACTTAACTGTAATCAAGAAAAGCAATTTATTGCACTGCATTAAACAGCAGCAGATGGAGAGTTCCATTTATAGTACACAAGAGGAGGGTAATCTGAAGGTTATAGTTGAGGGTTATATTTTTTTTAATAAATGCAGCCTTGGTGAGCATAACTGACTTATTTCAAAAACATAAAAAAATCGTATTGATCCCAAACTTTTGAATGATGGTGTACTGTGACGAGAGGGGCGGGGCCGAGAGCCGTGGGAACGGAGCGAGGCCGGTGGAGTAAATGCTAATGCGCGACACCTGCGCCACTCACTGGTCTCGAGTCCCATGGAGGAGCTCCGGAAGGATAAAAGGAGGAGTGACGAGAGTGTTGGACGAGAGAGGACCAGGCCTGGGCTTTATTTTGTGTTTTGGTTCTGTTTGTGTTTATTTTATTATTAAAGTTTTGTTTGAATGTTTGCCGGTTCCCGCCTCCTTCTTCCCGAACTTCGAACGTTGTTACATGTACATAAACAACAACAGCAGCATAAATAAAGTCAGCAAATATTAAAACAATATTCCTATAACAGTAACTGCATAATTTATTCATGCCACAATACGCACTGGGTCCTCATAAACCCTTAACAAATCAGCGACATTGTTAATTATAAAACAGTTTGCCTCAGCCTAGTTTGGACAACATTTGGATGAATATTGTCAGTCTAACAAGTGTTTTTATGTGGAGTCGTCACAATTCACTGTTCTTAGTTGGCTATGTTTGACTAATGATAAAATGGCATTTTATTTTTACAGTGTAGGTTTAAATCACATCTTCGCATGCTGGAAAACTAAAAGTGCTTCCAATAATGTAATCAGACAGTATTTTTGTTTGCATAATGCATCTTATGCAAATAGAATTACTGAGGTGATTGTTTAGCTCATATACATGCTGCCTTCTTGAGATGCATGGGTGGAAAAAAATGATAGTTGAATTACTGGGGGAAAAGTGAATGAATGAATGAATGAATGAATCAGTGAGTGACTGAATCAATGAATCATTCAAGTGCATCCTGGCTATTCTTCACAGAAAAAAAAAATCATGTTCATACTCGTGTCTTAGAGACCTTTTCCATTGCATGCAAGTCAGTGCTGGACAGAACTGCGTTTATTGATTGAGTGTTATGACACTAAGTCTTCAAATTGAAATGAAGTGCCGCAAAACAGAGCTAGCTTGTAGATATGCTAGTTTTCAATTACTCCTACAAACTCTTTGGACCTTCTATTCTGGGCATTATTTTACAATGATCATTTGCTTTGTTTTTGTAGTCCTCTATGGATATCCACCCACAAGTTGATCTTATCTGCCTGGACGTCTCTCAGCACTAAAACCAGGGGGGTGGGGGGAGTTTTCAAGGTCAGATAAGCATTCCGGTAATGACTCAAATTTTAAAATGTGCTACTGTTCCAGAGTGAGGGTCAAACTGAAAATGCAGTTATATTTGATTTTGCAGGGGAGAAGAGCAGAAGTTAGGAAGCTATTTTTTTTTCTTTCAACAATCAGTTTGAACCTTTAAATGGATCAGTAAGAAAATACATTATTTGTTAAATCCTTGCTCAACTGTGCAGAGGTGGATACAATAAACCAAATGCATAAAAGTCTCTACATACATGTGGGAGTCTCTCATGAGGATGTATGGATTTTTTTTTTCTTGTCAGAAATCATTCAGCGAATATGAACACTAACATGTCTCTTTTTTTAAATGTGAAAATGTGTCATTCGTTGTTACCCTGGACATCAATATTTTTAGATTCCTTCCCAGAATTTCAATTTAACCCTCATGGATTTTCTTTTTTTTTAAATTGTAAAACTACTGTCATCCAAATGCCAGTTTTCTTGTCTCACAATGTAGCTTGTCTCACAATGCAGCAGCCTGAAACAGGCTGAATGATGGAAATTATGTTTTTTTTGGTAACATGGTGAGAGGTTTCTGAAATATTCACTTTGGCTTTTTGTGTTTCAGATTCACATACACTCTTGGAGAAGGCATGTGGCTGCCACTTAGCAAAAGCTTTGTCATTCCTCCAGCTGAGCTGGCCATCAACCCCTCTGCTAAGTGCAAGACAGATATGACTGTCATGGAGGACGCCGTGGATGTCAGGTAGGAGATGACATTTTCAATCTTGTTTCAAGCTTGTTTCAAAGAAGAATAGCTGAACACTATGACATACTGAGATGCATTAGTTGATAGTCTGCCTAAAAATTTCAAAGGCAAATAAAATAAACATTAGGGCTTATTTTAAAACAGTTTGGACCAATCCTTGAGCAGCCTTCCAGCCGTCAGATTAATGTATGATAATGGATCCCTCAAAAAGCTCTGTCTTAAAAAAATGTTACATGACTTAGCAACTGTTGCCATCCACCATTTTAACATACATGCTTTTTATATTTTTTTAATGTAAGTCTTTGAATGTCCAGGGTGAAAGTTTTAAACTGAATTTTATAGAAGTTTATAATTTTTCCAGATCTAAAAAAATCTTAAGAAGTGCATGCTGTGGATCTGTTAGCCTTCATTCCTACTTGAACAAGCATAACATCAGTAACAACACCTGCATTTGTTCCAAGGTGTATATATATATATATATATATATATGTATATATATATAAAGGTCAAAATAGGGTCAAAGAGTTAATTCTGTAGCTACCACAGTATGTTGTATAAACATTAGGAACCGTTTTCACTGTGCAATTTGACAATGTCCTTAAAGGGGTCCTATTATGCTTTTTCACTTTTTGAATTTTAGTCAGTGTGTATGTTTGGGCATAAAAAAAATCTACAAAGTTACAAATCTCAAAGTCCACTCCAAAGGGAGATATTTCGTTTAAAAAAAAAATCCCTTTTCAAGAACTACAACGAACGGCTCGTTTGGACTACGAGGGGTGAGGTCGTGGTTAGAACGCTTGGTTGAGTGCATCAGACAAGACGACGACGAAGCAGTGCTGCTGTAGCCTCAAGTTTTTTCAAGTTATTACACATGCACCTGAATAATTATGTATGTAAATATGTATATTACAATTATGAAAACGTTTTTATAATCAATTGGTGACAGTCCAATACTGGACAATGATGTAATCTGCAGAATTTACACTGCAATTATGAGACTACAGTGTTTCCCATACATTGAGTGCGGGTGTTTTTATATCACTGTATTTCTGAAGGAAACTGACTGTCTTCAGAAAATTGGATGCCATTTACATTTCATCTTGCATGTAATGTCTGATACAGCAGCGTTTGTGAGCGGAGAGCTGCTTTGTGTACAGCCATTACCGGGAAAACCTCGATCTCTACCACTCCAACAGCGCATCCTGCTGGCAGAGAATGAATTTGCATATATATGCCGCCACAAATAGAGAGTCCAAGTCTGTGGGAAACACTGGACTATGATATAAATAAATTGTAATAAACTGTATAACAGTTTCACTGCAATACATGTTATAATGTTAGAATTAAAGAACAATAAACATAATACATATGCACTTATCTGTA